CAAGTTTCACATCACAGTCATTTCTTTTCATGAGGCAATGCCACCTTCCCTTCAGTCTACCAAAAGCGTTTTCAACCACTACCCGTACTCTGCAAATCTTCTTGTTGTATGTCACATGTTCTTCTGTTAGCCGTCCAGTGTCAGCGAAGGGTTTTATGAGCCAGTTTTGCAAGGGATAGGCATTGTCTCCCAGGATGTAATAGCCAGCATTCACCCCACCAATGTTCCTGGTGCAAGCTGGAAAGTAGTTGCCACGACTGGCCAACTCCCACAATGTGGACAGTCTCAAAACCCGAGCGTCATGCAAGCTCCCAGGCATTCCTGCAAACACATTCCAGAAATGTCCCTTACCATCAACAACTCCTTGAAGGATGATGGAGTGCCAGCCTTTACGGTTGAAATAGTCACAGTGGTATTCCTGTGGTGCCAAGATGGGTATGTGTGACCCATCAATAGCACCTACACACTGAGGGAGCCCCCACCTCTGATAAGTGTAGGCAGCCATTTCTGCAAATTTCTCCCGGTCTGGTGAACGAATTAGTTCCGGTACTAACAACGTCTCTGCAGCAGCACAGAAGTCTTGCACACACCGGCACACAGTTGTCTTGCTCACTCCGAAAAGATGTCCTATGCTTCTGTACTCACAGCCGGTAGCAAGCTTCCACAGTACGATGGCCACTCTCTTCTTAAAAGGTATACACACGCGGAATGGTGTGTCCTGTTTCTCCATCGCTGGCCGCAGTTTGTTGCACAGGTAGACGTAGGTTTCTTCAGACATCCTGAAGTTCTCCACCCACTGAGTGTGTGTGAAAGATGGAACAATCACATTCCACCACTCGGTAGCTCGGTCGAGCATCCAAACACATGGTCTAGGGCGGCGAAGTAACTTCTGAAATACACAAACAAAAGCATACATATTTTAATACGTAAAAGTGGTAGCTACAATTAATTAAATACTTGAAATTCTTTGGTCGTATGGGGAGCGTGAGCCTAAACACATTGCTAGTTAGCGAACGTTAGCTTACCAAGTAGCATTGTAGTCTCGAAGAAGTATTAGTAGCAGTAGTAGTAGTAGTTAGAGTCCTCCAGTAGTCTCTGCGGGCCTGCCAGAACTCTCGCGTCAGCTGCCTCTATAACCTCGTCTTGCTACAAGTCGCCTCTTTCGAATCATCTCTTGCCTATTTCTTGTGATAAAGAACCACACAGCAAGCAACAAGCAAACGATCTTTTCAACATCCTCCATTGTTGTGTGTTGTGTCGCTTTGTCGCATTGAAGATGACGTCACGGCAGTTTTAAGCAGCGTCGCTCCGCCTACACTGCGTTACTATAGATACTGACCCGGTTCCTAAACTGTAATGGAAACGCGCCACAAAGTGAGCTGGTCCTAACGAGGCCGGGCGCGGCCAAAGGAGGCCGAGCGGGGCCGAGCGAGGCTGTGTAGTGGAAACGCGCCATTAGTGTGGATGGAGCAGCTCGTTAAGTCTAGAGTGCTTTGATCTCAAAACAGAGTGCAGCAGTGCTCCCCAAAAAATGTTTTAAACTTGCCATAATTCCCAAACCCTACACTCCTCAGACATATTTTTTCATGAAAAACGTAGGAAAACCTCTCCTAGGTTGGAAAATAAAAAAAATTAAGAAGAAATATTAATCAAAATGCCTCTTGAGGGCATGAAGAGACAAAAAGTCCACCTAGCTCCCAATTGATTCCCATGTTAAATCTTTCCGGAACTTTCTTCAGAACAGAGAGAAGTACACTTTAGACAAACTGCTCCCATCTCCACATTTTACACACAAAACCAAAAAAAAACAACATATATCAGTTAATTGGGGTTCCCTGATGCTCACGTTCTGGTAATTTTTTGATAGGAGCCATAGTTTTTGAACAGGTGGCAAAATTGTCAGATATAATCCTCAATGCATTCTTAATGGGACTCAGTGCTGCAGTTGGGAAATCGTCATAAGTCGTCACCATGGTAACCTTTCATCTCTGGGTTTACACACACAGGTGTTTGTAAACATTCATTCACTACTACTTACATTTAATATCTTTATTTAACTCCTTGAGCCTAATTTCAGCTGCAGGAACCATTCAAATATCAAACTATTCAGCCTTTTCAGCACATGATGGGGAAACTTTCAACTTTTTCAAAATATGTTATACTTTTTAAAACATTCAGCTTTTTAAAGTCTTTTTTTTAACATGGAAGTCATTGCAATGCATTTGAGCTGTAACAATTCTCTCTCTCTCTCTCTCTCTCTCTCTCTCTCTCTCACAGACAGACACACACTCTCCCTCTCTCTCACAGACACATCAAGACAAGAGAGGGCGATCAAGAGAAGTGAGAGAGGGGTGATAGAAGAGTGATAGGGTGATCAAGAGGAGAGAGAGAGGGTGATAGAAGAGTGATAGGGTGATCAAGAGAAGAGAGAGGGCGATCAAGAGGAGAGAGAGAGGGCAATCAAGAGAAGAGAGAGATGGCGATCAAGAGGAGAGAGAGAGAGCGATCAAGAGGAGAGAGAGAGAGGGCGATCAAGAGGAGAGAGAGAGGGCGATCAAGAGGAGAGAGAGTGGGCGATCAAGAGGAGAGAGAGATGGCGATCAAGAGGAGAGAGAGAGAGCAATATAGAGAAGAGAGAGAGAGGGCGATCAAGAGGAGAGAGAGAGGGCGATCAAGAGGAGAGAGAGTGGGCGATCAAGAGGAGAGAGAGATGGCGATCAAGAGGAGAGAGAGAGAGCGATCAAGAGGAGAGAGAGAGAGGGCGATCAAGAGGAGAGAGAGGGCGATCAAGAGAGAGAGGGCGAGCAAGCCTTTTTACTTTCTTTTCTCTTCTTAATGCAAATTCATTCACTACTACTTACATCTGATATTTAACTCCTTCAGCCTATTTTCAGCTGCAGAAACCATTCAACTATTACATTATTCAGCTATTTCAGGACATCAAGGCTATACATGTTGTTTATACCTTTTTTTAAACCTTTTCTTTTAAATATTAAGCTTTTTCTGCATTTTTTTAGCTAAAAGCAGCTACTATTCAGCTAATAACATATTCAGCTTTTTCTGCATTTTCAGCTAAATTCAGCCACAAATGTTCACAGTTTACAGCATTCGCACGCATTTTCTGCAGGAAATGCATTTTCTAGTTATTTCATGATTTTCTCTTTTTCTTTCAGTCCGACCAGTGCACCGGTCTTCAGGGTTTCCTGGTGTTCCACAGCTTCGGAGGGGGCACCGGCTCTGGTTTCACCTCCCTGCTGATGGAGCGTCTGTCCGTCGACTACGGCAAGAAGTCCAAACTGGAGTTCTCCGTCTACCCAGCTCCCCAGGTGTCCACCGCTGTGGTGGAGCCCTACAACGCCATCCTGACCACCCACACCACCCTGGAGCACTCTGACTGTGCCTTCATGATTGATAATGAGGCTATTTATGATATCTGCCGTAGAAACCTTGATATCGAGCGTCCCTCTTACACAAACCTGAACAGGTTGATGAGTCAACTTGTGTCCTCCATCACTGCCTCCCTTCGTTTTGATGGTGCCCTCAATGTTGATCTGACAGAGTTCCAAACCAACTTGGTGCCACCTATGCCCGTGTTATTTCTGCAGAGAAAGCTTACCATGCTTACCATGAGCAGCTCTCAGTGGCAGAAATCACTAATTCCTGCTTTGAGCCAGCCAATCAGTTGGTGAAATGTGACCCACGCCACGGTAAATACATGGCCTGCTGCCTTTTGTATCGTGGGGATGTCGTTCCCAAAGACGTGAACGCTGCCATTGCCACCATCAAAACCAAGCGCTCCATCCAGTTTGTGGACTGGTGCCCCACTGATTTCAAGGTGGGCATCAACTACCAGCCGCCCACTGTAGTTCCTGGTGGAGACCTGGCCAAGGTCCAGAGGGCTGTGTGCATGCTGAGCAACACCACTGCTATTGCAGAGGCCTGGGCTCGGCTGGACCACAAGTTTGATCTGATGTACGCTAAGCGTGCCTTTGTGCACTGGTATGTGGGTGAGGGTATGGAGGAGGGAGAGTTCTCTGAGGCCAGAGAGGACATGGCCGCTCTGGAGAAAGATTACGAGGAGGTTGGAGCTGATAGCCTGGAAGATGAGGATGAGGAAGGAGAGGAGTATTAGAAAGCTTTATTGATCTCTGATCCATGCTGTTTTATTAATGTCAAGAAAATAAAGTTGTTCATTGACTGAACCTGAACCTATGCTTTCCTCTCGTCAATGAATACACTGTTAAACATGACCTATCTGCCTAGATGTGTTGTATGTATTCACTTGCTCAGTTCAATCAAAAATGTTTTCACACAGATGCTATTGCTCAATTCAGTCACTTGGAGGCAGTGGTGTTTAACATGTATATATCTGTTCTCTGAACACACGAGGCATGGCAATCTAGTTAAATGCTAGATTAATCACTACATGATTTCTCAACATCAGATGATTCAAGAGTACCATTTGCATATCTTACATTGACTTATTTAAGATTGGATTTGTGCTTTACGTGAGAAGAACAGAGTCCTAACCCCGGCCTGATCTCAAATAGGGTGTGGTATTCACTCTGGCCCAAGGGAGGGATAGTAGTGAGGCGGGGGTGGGGCTCCCATGCTGGCAGACAGGTGGTGTTTCAAAAGACTTAGTTCTGCTGTTCCCAGACTGGAAAATGAATGAAACTGAAAGCAATTGTAACCCCCGGTTACTAAGACACTGAGAAATAACATTGACTAAAATGTCAACTTTATTTTAAGGCTTAGCACTACATACACAAATAATATAAATGATTTGAAACTAAAATAGAAACAATATAGATACACAATATGCAATTTAGGACAACATGATTTAGACAATTCTTCATGAAAACATTTAAATGAGTGTGATTAGATAAATCCCCTGTCCATCTAAAGTGGTTGTAAAGCAAGGCTAAGCCAATCAAAGTTTAGACCCGCCCCGTGTCTGCTGTCTAACAGGAAGTGAGATGGCTGTTTATCCTTTTGGGACGATGACTCAGCAGCATTAGCTCTATAGATTTTAATTGTAGTTATTTTGACAACTTTTCACTTAGATTGACCGACTTTTCTACTTTTCTCCAACAGCATTGCCTCTTATATGATACCCTTGGTGAGTTGCATGAGAAAATACGGATGTTAAATATGTATTTTAATGAAATTATCGATGCTAAATTAGCCGCGGCTAACCGTTGCTAACGCGTTAGCCTAGCGTGTATCCGTGTTGCTTTAATGTGTGCAGAGCGGAGGGACGTGAAGTCACTGCACCACTCTATTGTCTGTGGTTTTGGCGGTGGTCTTCACGTTGCTTTGCCGCCTGTTGTGGCACATTGAAGGGGCATTGACCACAGCTTAGTCTGTTAATTGTTGTGGAATATGAGCAAAGTGGAGCTAACTGTGGCTGGTTATAGGTTGGCCGAAAATGAGTTTAGTACACTTTGTTAAAATAATAACATGTGTGACAGATGTGTTAAATAAGCTGACTGATAATTGTTGTATTTAGAATGGTTTGTTTAATAGGATTTTAGGACATATGCAGTGTATTTTGTTGATTTGATTAATATACAGAGAAGTGCTGTTTCAATTTGCATTTAAACCATTGTATAAGCATTCATTTGACTCTTGGCCTTGTTGTCAGGTCGGGTCTTTTTTTTGTGTGATGTGAAGGAGATTTTCTGGATTCTTTGACTGGAACGCTGCCCTCATCTCTGCTGGTGTACTGTGGCGAATTTCAGTCTGGCGAGCTACCCATCGACCTATCTAAAAGAAGAGAACTATTACAGTTACCCACCACGATAGTAGGACAAGAACTTGTGCATCTTTTCCTCTTCACAAGTTGAGAGCCAAGAACTGATTTGATTATTGATTGTGTGATACTATGTTGAATATGTTATAACTATATGTGTATAGAAGTAATGTGATAAGTTTTCTTTCATTTTATTTAAGAATCTGAAATAACATTTCAAATACAGAGTCCTGGTTCCCAAAATTAGAATATATAGCTTAGCTACTAAATTTAAATAAAACCATTAGTTTATATTAAATAGGGATAATTAAAACAGAAGTAACAACACTAAATGATACCAAAATAGTTATAAAATAAATAGGTACAAATAATTAAAACCAGGATACTCTCAAATTCAAGGTAACTGAACATATATATGTATATCAAATGTTTATCTGAAAGAAAGGGAATAAATATTATAGCTTTCTGTACCTTTTCCAAACAACGTCTGCTTTGTGTCTTTTCACCTTTGTTGCACAGTATCCATTTTCTCCTGAGCAACCTAGACTTCTGATGTGCTGGTCCACCCACTGAAATTTCTACATTTATATTAGAGAGGTTTGATCGAAACAGATTCGTATAAATAATTCTGTGCTCAGCATTCACTTTTGGTGCATGTGTTACACAATACATTAGGAACCATGTAAAGCCAACATTGAAAAGGGCTACATAGTGTTGTAAGGAGATGAGTGTTTTCACAGGTGTTGTAAACGTTTTTTTATTTTCAGTTCTGTAATCATTCACCATGTTCGGTTACAAATAAATGCTTTTTCTTGACATTAAGCAGATATTTAATGTCATTAAAACAGAAAAACAAAATGGATTCTACAATACAAAAACATACACAGCTCTCATTTAAAACCCAACAGGAACATACAGTACTGTGACTCTCATAAGCTTCCTATTGCCCCCTTTTCTACAGCTCCCAAACCAAAGCAGCTAATTGACAATAATGCATATAAATCCCAGTGAAAAGAGAAAGTTCCACAGTGTAGTAGCAGTCGCATACAAGCATATCATCAGAGCAGGGGGTGGGGGGGGGAAAGTTTCTTTGGAAACAATGACAAATCTTGGGCGTTATATTGTGACAAAATCAGTTTTACATTTCGTTACAACAGTATCCTCACTCTCGTCTCAGGTCCTCTGTCCTCCAGAGTAGGAGTGTACCTGGATCACAGAGCAGGTGTTCTGTCCTTCTACAGCGTCTCTGAAACCATGACTCTCCTCCACAGAGTGCAGACCACATTCACTCAGCCACTACATGCTGGACTTCAGCTTGATTGTGATGATGGAGACACTGCTGAGTTTTGTAAACTCAAATAGCCTGAAGTCATTGGAGGAACTCTTCTACTTCTTAAACTCACCGTGTGTCCATCAGAGCTGATTGTTCATGTCTTCACTGTGCAGAGATCAGCTGTCAATCAAACATGATGGGTGGGGCTTGAACGTCTTCTCATGAGTTGTTCTGTAGATGTTGGACTTTCTTCCGGCTCCTTCCTGGGTCTGTGTAGCCATGGAGGCTGTCACTGCTCAGGAGGATCCTTGGTCACCTGTAAACTTTGCTCTAAAGATTTGCTGGATGTTTCTTTTGATTCATGTTGTTTCTCTTGTAATGCACGAGTCTTCAGAGACATTTTGAATCACATGTATTACTTTGACAGATTACATGTTATTGTTGCTGCCCAAATTAACTAACACATTAAACCCAGATGGTTATAACAATTATTTCATCATAACATGTTTATTTAAAATGATATTACTTCCTGTCATGATCATAATCAATAAGTCAATCATTTATTATTCTGTTTGAAATAGCTTAGAGTCTTTGCTTGGGAAATCAATGGTATAATATTACAGACTAATTGTTGTTGTTGTCCAAATAGAAATTGGGTACTCTGATGTTTTATAGAACATACATTATCATGATCATAATCAATAAGTAAATCATGCATCATTCTGTTTGAAATAGCTGAGATGAAACTCATTCATGGTGTGGATAAAGGGAAAGTGATCATGAAATCATTGATCAATAGTCATTGAACAGACTTTACTGATGGGATGTGTGATCAAATGAAATGTTTGGATAATGAATAAAGTAGAAACTGAAACAGGATGTTGTTCTTGTGTGATGTCCAAGGTGCCGTACGAAGCTGATGGAGAACATGTTCAGCAGGAAATGCATGTTCTAGTTAAATCATAACTGCTGTAATAATATATGTTGTCCTGATATATGAATGCTCAGGGCGTCACCATCTAAAGTCCCTCAAAGAAACATGAACCAGGAAGAGACTCCATGATAAAAACACAACTACAGAGACTAGAAATGACGACAGAAAGAGTTACAACTACTACAAAGTGTCTGTACTTGTGTTTATGTGGTGGTGGGAGCTTTTGCACGGGTCTTCCTGCCCCATAATTAAACATATCAGTGTCATTATCTGGTGAGTATCCTTCAGAAGGCGTCCTTAAATGCCCGCTAACCTTTAACAGCCGTTATTATCAGACTATCAGTGGGATATCAGTCAGAACTCGTCTGTCAGGTTTTCTGTCAGCAGGTACGATAACGATAATGGCCGCTGTGAACGATCTCCTCTCGTCTATCTCTAGAACAAACTACTTGAATCAAAATATACTTAAAATACCAACAATACACATTTGGAGGAGAGGATGTAAACCTGGATGAGTTTTTAAATCAGGGTTATTCAACTAAATATAGATGTATGAACTCTTCCGGTGTTGTGGTGTGTTAATTGTAATGCAGCATGTTCCTCTGCTGGACACACTCAGTACTGCACCCTCCATACACCATCAATTATTTGGTTACAGAAGAAGCATCAGTGTGTTCAGACATACAATAAAAAAACAACACATGTTAAAATGAAAAAAATGATATCAAATATAAACAATATAAAAATTCTGGATAATTAAAATGTTAAAAAAAAGTCAAGAACACTGCAGTTAGTAACATGAATATATGCTTACACTACAGGAGTATACTGTATATACATAGGATAGTAGAATGTACAATGTACAGATATACAGAGACTTGCAGATTGATAACATATACAGAATAAGTTATAATGCATTAAAGGTCCCATGTCATGGCCATTTCTACTGATCATAATTCCATTGTTGAGGTCTACTAGAATAGATTTAGATTGTTCAATGTTCCAAACTCACATTGGTTTCTCATACAGCATCTCTGTATAGTATGTGTATTCACTCTCTGTCCTACACGGCTTGTTGGAGCTCCTGCTCCTTCGTTGTACTTTGTATGATGACAATAACGATCTATTCTATTAGGATGATATGGTGATACACACTCTTGTACAGTAGGTGGCGGTATGCACCTTAAAGTTGTTTTCAATCCGCCAAAAACCGAGAGAAGAAGAAGAAGAAGAAGAAGAAGAAGAACCTGGGTCCATGTGGCGTCTCGTCGCTACGGTTCTCTCTCTCTGTGTTCCTGAGAAAGTGTGTGTGAGCTCCAGCACTACTGATCCATCATCTGTGTGTCTGGATAAACCTCCGAATGGACTCTGTGCTCTTTTTTCTGGAGCGTTTACCTCGGACTATAGGAGCTAGCTTAGCATGCTAGCTGGAAACACGTTAGCAACACTAGTCAGATGGAGAGTTTGATGGAGAGAGAAACGGTGTGTTTAACGGAGGCTGCAGGAAAAGGTGACCTAGGAAACATGAGTAAAGTCCAAATGCTGCTGTCGTTGAAGAAGCAGCGACTCACTACTGAAGAGATATTTGCTCTGTTTGAACAAACAATAGCAGAGCTCGAGGAGGAGCTGTCTCTTTCCAAAGAGGAGAACAAGAGACTCCAGAAACTACTGGACGCTGTTTTACAGCCTCAGCTTCGGATACACAGAGCAGGTCTGTTCCCTTTACTCTCCATTAACACTTTAAACTCTTCAGTAACACTTTATTATCACATTAATAACACTTTAGACCATTTATCAGCACGTGCTGCAGGTAGTACATCCTGAAGTAAAAGTACAAACACCACACTGAAAATACTCCATTATTATAATTATTACGGAAGAGCAAACCTACCAAAATAAATATATTTATAAAAATACATACATTGAATAATATGCTATTTAATTTACTGATTTAAATATTACCCATGCATGTAGGCACTAGTTGATTACATGTGACATACATTGATACTTTAGTTTTAATGTGCTTCTTTATTCACCTTTTCTTTTTAAATGTGTAAAAGCAAATAAAAACAAATACTTTGGATTAATTCAAATTGCGTGAGAATAATTCATAAAGAAACAATGAATAAATATGTTCAATAATAAATTAAACACATCTAAAATGTTACTTGATAAAGAATAGGGGAACTCGTGCAAATGTCATTAAGTAATTCAAACGTTAATATAAATTAATGTAAAATCTCAATCAATCAATTATTGCCAACATGTATTTATAATATATTCTGTTAATATATATATTCTGTATATGTATGTATATATATATATATATATATATATATATATATATATATATATATATTTTGAGAGAGATATACACTAGGGATGGGAATTTGAAAGCAAATGTATATTCGAATATTCGACCCCCCAAAAAACTTAACCGAAATGTAAATATCCTATAAAACAAAATTCGACTGGTGATCACAGTTTGACAGCTATAGGCCTACAGCTTTCATGTGCGGAGGCGATTCACAATCAGGCCAGCTGTAGAGAATACCCTCTCAGCTGGAACGGAGGTTGCGGGTATAGCAAGGTATAGTATGTATATATATATAAGTTTAATTTGGCATAGTTTGCACTCTACACCGCACTCACTAACCTGGTCGAAATATTTCCACACATTACTCCTTTTTGACGCCATGTCAAGACTCTTCTTAGAGTGTAAATAATTACCGGACTATGACTGGTAAAATATGTTGAATACCGGCAAAACTAAATCTCTCCTGTCAAAATGTCTACTTTGCCGCCACACACGGTTGCCAAGCAGTGCTTATTGTTGTTTAGGCTGGCCACTCATGTGTCGCGAGTGTTGACAGGGGGCGGGGGAGCACGCTCATGAACTGTTAGCGCCGGAACCTCGCAACGGCTACGGAGCGCATTTGCGCCACATTTGGGCATAAGATGAGGTTTGAGTCTGCGTGATTTGCATGTAGGCAGGGGCAGCAGCCATATCATTAGCTAGAACTAGCTAGATCTGATGGATTTGGACATAAACGCGAGTGAAGTACCGGACGCGAGAGAGAGAGATCAGCACCTGCAGCTCTGCCCGCTGTGAGGGACCGGTGAGCGGAGCAAAACACACCTTTAGACGTCACCTAACACATTTAGCTATGGCACTGTCGTATACATTGAATTATTCAATTTGATAATATGTAATCAACTTAGGCATCCCTCCCAAAAAAAAAATTAATAAAAATATTCATAACTCATATTCGAATACCTGAATAATTATTCGAATACCTGAATAATTTCGAATATTCGATTAATCGTTCCCATCCCTAATATACACTAGTATTAGACGCAGTCAAAAGTTTGGACACATCTTGTCATTCGAAGATTTTTATTTATTTAAATTGGTTCTACTTTGTAGATTTATACTGAAGACGTCAAAACTATAAAAGAACACATGGAATTATCTAGTAAACAAAAAAGTGTTAAAAAATCCAGAATATGATTTATATTTTGCTGGCTACTGCAGAATGCTGTGGTAGCCAAGCTGGTTAAGGGTGCCTTGAATTCTGAATAAATCACCAACAGTGACACCAGCAAAGCGCCCAGACAACTCTCTTCTTCTTGTTGTTCATCCTCAGCAGGGTAGGATTTTCACCGACGGCTATGCCGTAATTGCCCCTCGGTCTGGCCGTGAAGCCCCGAAAATAATTGTACGTCCTACGGCCACCATGGCCTGTGTGCCCCTGATACTGTTAACATTTCGAAGTTACTTTAAAAGCGTCAGAACAGTGGTTTCTGAACTGCATTATGCTGCGTTCACAACGGACGCGATGCGAATATTCTCATCGCTCTAACCGCTGGAGTTTCACCGCGGCTGTCAGCTGTGTTTACTCCTGTCATTCAAACAGGACGTGCTGGAGAGGGGGCGGGGCTTATATCCATGTAAATACTGTGGTGGAAACCAACTACGACAAAATTAACCTATTTGACCGTGATTTAATTGTAATACACGTTTCAAAATGATGCTGAAGTAACTACATACTGACAACGGTTAGTAAAAACCATGCTTTGACAAGTGTGCAGACAAGACGGCAGGCAAAAAACTTTTAAAATGCGTGTTCTCTGAATGGATCGATCTCCATTCGATCAGATCAGAAACTAACATGTATCTGCTCCGTCCAAACTCACAACAACGTCCTAAAGACAGAATTAAAGCAGCGACTGTATTCACCATGACACAGACAGTCTGTGGTTTGTACATGTTTAACTTCTGTCTAGTTTCTGAACAGATATGAGGAGCAGTGAGGAGTTGATTAAAGACACACACACACACACACACACACACACACACACACACACACACACACACACACACAAACACTTTTGCATTTCATAGTATTGCTTGTTCATACAGTTGAATGTTTGAGCTTCACTGTGCCCTGCTGAATGATGTATGTGCAGAGTTGGACCCTTGAAGGCTGTTTCTTCTGCTCTGAAATGGAATATATTTGTTACATATTAATAGAATTTTAGATTTTTTGATTTGATTTTGGATATGTGAATGGGAGAAGTAGTAGATGGAAAAAATACCAAACACTAATTATTCATTTCATGTTATATACGGTAATACTAAGGAGGCATAGGCCTATATGATGATATAATGTTTGACATTATTGATATTAAAAAAGTGATTTGTTTTCCATGTCATTCATGTGTTTTTCTTATCAGAAAGTGAAGTTATTTATTTGTAAGCTCCAAATCCAAATGTTTCCCTCAATGGCCTTTGTGCCCTGAAAAAATGTGTGACACCAAAGGCCAAATGGCCTTGCCCCTAAAATGACGAAAATCCAAGCCTGATCCTCAGTAGTGGATCTTTGCAGCAATTGGACCATGAAGGCCTGATTCACGCAGTCTCCTCTGAACAGTGGATGTTAAG